GGAGAATATTCTCTTTTACTACAGGTATTCTCAGCTTTAACATAAGACACTTCATATAAGATTAAGATAACACACTGTTAATCTAACCACATTCATTTGAATGTAAACTTACCTCTAAATATATTGATGGCGGGTTATGCTCTCCTCCAAATTTGTCTAGCAGTGCCTCTATATGTTCTTGTGTTAATTTGATCATCTGTTTGATATTCCACACCTAAAACAGAAAATTAAAAAAATTTATAATCAAAAGGAGCCTAGAGAATCTGTCCTAAAACAAACAAGTTCAATTTTCTTGATATTTAATAACCGAAGTCCGTAATAACAGTATTTTAATTATCAGTGAAAGAGTGAACAAAGCTATCCTGTTCATCCACTGTCAGTTAAACACAGCTTGCTTCTGAGATAAACAGAGAAAAACTAAGTTTGGGGTTAAAATTCAGAAACCACTGAATAAACAACTTTTAAGAACAGTTTATTTTTCGTGTTTATCAAAACCATATTAAGCAGAAATTGCGTTGCAAAGTCTTGCAAGGAAAATACTGTACTACAAAGTTTAGTGAAGGAGTTCTATCAAACTTTAAGTAATCTGTGTAAACAACATTCACAAAACCTAGACCTAGTGTTCTGTTTGCATGGGAATAGGGTGTCTTGATCTGAAAGAGCACCTTCTATACTCTGTCTACCCTCCAAGTTTTCTTACAGACCTTGGACATGATATGGAAAAGACATCTACCTCTAGTGCACAGAGAAAACTTATGGCACTGTACTATGAAACAACTCAGATTGTTACCCATTCTTCACAACACCTTGAAATAGTCAACTTTAGGACTTTGAGACTATTGTAGATGAACGGTGTTACAAATCCTAATTTATACCTAAAAGGCAGTGAAGGACAAGCCCAAACATTTAAAGTAATAATGCTACACCGATTTAAGAAGCTACTTTAGTCCAAAGTCAGAAATGTATAGTGGGGGAAGAAGGAGGAAAAGGAGAATCTCTTCTTCATCAGTACTGTTACTCAGACTATTTATAAGCAAAAAATTATTACATCAGAGTTATTGGACCCAGGACAGAAGAAATTAAGATAATATACACAGTGCTTCTTCCAAGTGGATTTTAAAGATTCCCATTATCTTTTTCAGTTTAACTCTTACCTATTTCACAGATTATAATATATACAGCCTCAAGACCAGGTCTGGATTTACAAACTGTGACAACCTACCTCTTTAAAAAGAGGATGCAAATAACTTCATATTCTAAAGTAGGCACCAATAATAGGATGCAATCCAAGCTGGATCAAAACAAGTTTTACTACCTAACTTGAGATGTTCACAAAGATACAGAACTCGCATTTTGAACACCACCTTATTTACCCCTTCTAATTCTAGACATCAGTTATTTGCCAGTAATTCCCTAAAGTAAACTAATAATCTATTCACTTCTAGCCCAAGTTTTAGAACAGATACTAGAACAAAGATTTCATCAAGAAGCTACAGTCAAGCAAAAACAGTTTGCTCAGAAACAACCAATCCAAACTACAAAGAGTGAGGGGACACCAAACAGAGTGTGCTGTTCAAGTATTCGGTATGTAAATTCCCTTGAGGCAACTTTGGAAGTCAGCTTGCCTCTCAACTTGTAATCAATTTATCACGTTGAAGCTAGGACTGCCAACCAGCAGCAAAGAGAAAGATTTCTGTATTTTGCTAGTTTTTCCCAGGATGGCAAGAACTAGTTGTACGGTTGGTGAAAACAACAAGCTTGAATCAACACTATCTCAATTAACCTGTTCAATGTAAGAGTTTAGGATGTTTTATTAGTGTGTAACTGGTAAGATGCTGTTAACCTGGGTGTGTATACAGAAAATTCTTGGCAAACTAAGGAATCATCTCAGGATTATCTTCAGAAACAGGTTTCACTAGTACTTAATGCAACTTCTACTATTTGGTGGTTCTGGCAATTTTACCCACCAAAACGCTTTCCTCAATATGTACTGTACCACAACCAATATCAGCAATTTACTATACTTAAATGCCTGGCGATGGGGGAGGTGGGGAGGGAAGATGCTTCACTGACAAAGTAACACAGAATCACAGAAGGGTTGAGGTTGGAAGGGACCTCTGGAGTTCATCTAGTCCAACCGCCTGCTCAAGCAGGTTGCCCAGGACCATGTCCAGACTGCTTCTGAATATCTCCAAGGATGGAGACTCCAGAGCCTCCCTGGGCAACCTGTGCCAGTGCTCAGTCACCCTCACCGTAAAAAAAGTGCTTCCTGATGTTGGCAGGGAACCTCCTGTGTTTCAGTTTGTGCCCACTGCCTCTGGTCCTGGCACTGGGCACCACTGAAAAAAGCCTGGCTCCATCTTCCTTTCACCAATCTTTAATCATTTTTTTGGCCCCTCACTGGAGTCTCTCAGGTATGGCCATATCTTTCTTGTACTGGGGAGCCCAGAACTGGACACTGCACTCCAGGTGTGGCCTTACCAGTGCCGAGTAGAATGAACCCCTGTCAGATGAGTTTCTAAATACTTTTTTTGAAGATTGAGAATGAATAACTTCCTTGCTTATGTTATTTTCAATCTTGTGCCATAACCACAACCTTGCTTCTCTCTTCTCTTACAGTAAAGATATAGAATAACAAATATAACTGAGCAACAGCAATATGCATGACGGAAGTGTTATTTAGTAGATGTTGGCAAGAGAATCACCCAGCCCCTAATGAGGGCAGAAATCTTCCTGCTAAGTTAATATCATGACAAGAACAAAAACTGACTAATGAAGAAAATAAAAAATTTTGAAACTTACTGCCAGCTGCCAGGCTATGGCGAAAATGTCTTCACCTGAAGAAGCTCAAGTTAAAGTCTAGTGGAAGACAACATTGCTCAGAGGAGCTGAAAACAGTGGCCTGAATTACCTACTATACATCTGCACTAAACCAAGAGCCTTTCCACAAGTGAATCTTACAGGCAAACTTAATATGGATTTCTATCATCTTAGAAAGGCTATTCACACAGTTAAAAGTATGCTGAAGGCAGAAGGAAATTTATCAAAGTCAACCATAGCAACAAATCATTACTTGTTGCTCACAGAAATGAAAAACCTATTTCGTGTGCCATATTCATCAAAAGTCTTCTGACAAGCTGAAAAAATTTTCACAAGTCTAGTACTGACTAGCATATTCTATGCCTAATCAAGTACACACAAGAACACGTACGCCATGGCAAATTTCCAAGCTTCAAAATTTCCCTTTAAGTGGCAACTTCTACTTATCTTTACTTACAGAAAACTTACCTTCTGGCTTCCCGTATCAGTGAATATGCTTATACACCTTTTTTTGTGGTGTAGAGTATCCCTTAACTAGTTAGCTCCTTGACAATCAACCCCTGTGCAACTATATTGCATCCTACTATGCAGGATCTATGACTACTTCAATTCAATTGAAGGAACTTGAGCCTTTTCCTAACTGGAATTCAGAACTGGTGCTCTGTGCAAGTGGCCTCATGTGACTCAAAAACGTCTGCTTCTGCACACCACAGTACCCACAGCTTCTGCCTCACAAAAAATACACCATACCTGTTGCACTTACACAGCCAGCAGGGCCAGCAACTTCAGCCTGTCTTTTCTCCTCACAAGACTTGCTTGTTCAGATAACTCATCTCAGCTAAGTTTGCACCATGTGCACCAGCCCAGCCTTACAGACTTTGAGCCAAGCCAAGACACATCCCCATCATCTCTGTAGAAAAAACCTGAAACACTAGGTTCTTAAGAATTACATCTCTTGCATTCAGAAGCACTCGCAGACATACGAGTTTCTTTCAACTGTCCAAATACAACTTAAGGATACAGAAATTGCCTAGGATTTTATTAAGTGTCTCATTCCCCATAAGCACAGACATTCCAGGACAGCAGCAAAGAACCACCTAATGACAGAGACAGCAAAAACATGAAATAGAGAATCCTTTTAGCAATCAGTTCTGGACCGAAGAGCTTGTTCCTAGACAACAGAATAAAAACAAGTCTTTCAAGCTAAATGGATACACACTAATACCATTCCTTCCTCAAGATCTCACAGCAATCCCTTTATCCACACTTTATTCACACTTTTTCTGGAAATAAAAGAAAACTGCAGAAGCCTGCTGGTCATTAAGAAAGAACAGACCTTTTTTTTTTTTTTTTTTACTCTTACAAGCACTCCACTCCACTTATGAAACTCCATGCCTGTAGGAAACCATAAAGCCACAACTGCCAACTATCCTGCAGAAATACAAAAATGGATGCCAGCCTAAGAGACAATTGCTAGAAATCTTAATGTATTCTGAAGTAAATCTGCAATGCATCTAGTACTGCTCACATTCAAGTCCAGTCCCTTCCCGCAGGAAGCAGCATGGTTACTTGAGACACACTGTTTTATTGTAGTTCCACAAAAAAGTAATGAATCCTTTACAGCTTGGATAACCTTATCATTTTTCCAAAAAAAGCCTCACATAAATTTTCCTGTCCTACCTGGTGGCATTAGGTTAAGGTTATTCTCTATCACAAGAGATTAGATTTGATTCTCCTTTTAGTGCTGCTGACACAAGGAAGCTGACGCCGGCTAACGTGGACACAGGCAGCCAGAAGACTGGAAATATTCCAGATATACTGGAATGTATCAACTTGTATCTGCCTATTGTAGATAATTGTGCATTAATTTTGCAAATAAGCACTCCCTTGCAATGTAATAAAGATGATGACCTATTTCAAGCCAGAGGCAAGTCAGATACAGTAGAAGCCTAAATCTATTCTATTCAGGGAAGACTATGGCTCCACAAATGCAAGGCTATAAGCCACACAGTTATTTTTGCATCCTTTGCTGTTTGTCAAAATACAGTGCCTGAGACAGCACAAAGCAAACTATCTTTTACACTTTTTGCACCTGGCAACAGTACTTGCAGCACATCCCAACTTTATGCTCTACGATTCACATTTGGCAGAAGACACCTGAGAGTTCAAACCTATTCCGTAAAGAAAAAAAACCACAGCCATTATTTGTCCAGACACAGTGTGTCCTGCGTTTGGATTATCACACTTGGTGATGATGGAGAATACTTTGACTGAACCAACTAGGTAATTTAAAAAAAATAAATAATTGAGCGTTTGATTTGGAAACTGTTTTATAAGGAGGGCAAAATCATCAATACTATCCAATACTATTCTAATCAGTCCCTTAAGGCTTCT